ATAGGATTGAATTTTATGGTTTCATCCAGTGTCTGCGAGAAATGTTTAATACGCATTGCTTTTGAGAAAAGGCATATAACTTACAACTGTCTTTTTCAAGAGTTTCATCAACAATTTAATTAAGAGTTTCATAAACAATTATGCTAAACCTTCCTTTTCCACACTTACCTGTAACATCGTCTTTGAAAAACTTTTACTCATGATATGAGTGAAATTGGCTAGTGTTATTAGTACTGGGTTCTAATAACATGACAAACAAGATGGCAGCCAAAAGGAAAGTACGTATTCATTTTCATATCATGAGTGAAAGTTTTCCAAAGAGGACGTTACAGACAAGTGTGGAAAAGAAAGTGTGTCGGTACTGTGTCGGCTGATGTTTTGGTAGTTTGGCGGTAGTGTGTCAGTAGTATCAGATTCTTTACCTTTACCCATTTTTTTTAAATCTCACAAAATAAGATTATCAGTAATGCGTAAAAAATGAGGTTGCATCTTCACTATTTCAGCAACTAGTCATTGCCTCAGGAGGGAAATTCTTGTTGTTGATTTAGTGCACTACTGGTAGCAGTGATGCTTGACCGCTGTGCTGTATTTCTCATAAATAATTTGGTAGGGCATGTGCTTGTTATTGCAGGCTGCCAAGTGCATACTGATAATCTCTGCCTTTTTAGTACCTTTGAAAGGACGCAACCCCTCCACAGAACTGAGTCTTGAGTCAGAGATCTCCTTAAACATTCTGACATATCTTAAGTGTAGCCAAAGAAGGGGGTTCGTGAATCCCTGGGTTCCATACATCATCTCTGAGCTTGTTCTTGGAGGGGTCATCCTGGAAATGTTTTTGTGTTGGGATAAGCTGATGTTGGGAAAGAAATGAGGTGCCACAGCTCTGCTTTAACAGTCGTGGGAGAAAATATTAAGTATTTTGTCCCATTGGTCAACTATCGTCTACCACAAGTTTAAAGCAGCCTTGCCTTAATGGGTGTCAAACCTTCAGTGGAGCTGTTGTAGCAAAATCCCAAAGAAAGGTCTAATACTTTGGGTTACTCAGTTGTGGTTTATCCCATGTACATGTGAAACCATAAATAATTATACTGTTCATTTGTTTTAAAATTGTAGTGCCTTCTTCCATACAAGTAATACAAGATCAGAATGTAACAGAAGGCAACAATTTGACTCTGACATGTAATGCATCTGGAATCCCTTCACCAATGGTGTCTTGGATTAAGCCTGATGGTCAGAGTGAATATGGAAGTGTGTTAAAGGTTGTGAACATCAGAGGAAATCAAACTGGAGCGTACAGATGTGAAGCCAGTAACGATTGTGGCAATGCAACAGAGATGACAAGCATTGATGTGCAATGTGAGCTTTTAATCTTTTCACTCCATACTTTACTGTTTAAGATCGTGTGGAGAAAGTATTTTTGTAAAGGCTAATGATCATTTTAAACATTTGCTTTTTCATAGTCAAACCCAAGAAAGTGCTACTGACAACATCTGCAATGAACAAAACAGCCTGTCTGGGTGACGTCATCAACTTTACCTGCTCAGCTGATGCTAATCCAACAGTGACCTCATATCAGCTGTTCAAGAATGACAGTTCCATTTTCGATACAAGCATGTCAGGAATGTGGAATGAGACTTTGGAAATTGCAGGAGTGTTTTTCTACAGATGTGTGGCAAATAACACGCTGGGATCAACACACAGTAAAGATGTCATGCTAACAGTCAGTGGTAATTTCTTTGAATTTTCTCACTTCTTTAATACTTTTTCGATTCTTTAAGACTTTTTGTCAAAGTCCAAGCTCACAAGTGATTATTGTATCATTTTGTCCTATTGTACTAAGGAGGGNTTATGCAACTGGGTCTTTTGGCGTCTCAGTGTTTTCTACATGCACCGTCTTTCACAGGATATCAAGGCGAGACGGAAAGGACAATTCCCGTCTTGCCTGATGAATTAAGTGGAAAAACTATCGAAACAACTTTTACACCGTGTGTTTGCCTTAAACAATGTCTAACTTAGACTTCGTTTAAATAACCCGCCCTCAGTGTTTTAGATCATATAGATCTTTAAATTTCCATGCGTACTTTAGTATAACCTGAGGGAAAAAATGATTGCAGTGAGCTTTTTACTATCTACATTATTTGACACAATTTGTTTGCAATTCTCTTAGACAAACCAGAGAATGTACAACTTACAACATCTGCTATAGATAACAAAGCATGTAAGGGTGCCATGATTAGCTTTAACTGCTCAGCTGATGCTAGACCATCGGTGACATCATACCAGCTGTTCGAGAACGACGCTGCTATCTTAGTTGTAAAGCCTTTAGGAGTGTGGAAAAGAAACGTGTCAACGAGCGGAGTGTTTGCGTACAAATGTGTGGCCAACAACTCTTTAGGATCAGGAGTCAGTTCATATGTTATGGTGACAGTAAATGGTAAGCTTGGCTCTACATACTGAAGCTGTAAAGCTGTTCTATTGCTTTCACTCACCAATTTACATCATTGGCCTAGCTGTTTGGCATATTGAAACAGATTGTGTTGTATGTAGACTCAGAACATGTAAAGGGTGGTGTGAGAAAATGGGTTTTTAAAGATATTGTGAGCGTTTTAGCTTTGCCCCTGTCCTTGTCAGATGAACTCGGTACCAAAAAAAAAAAAAAAAATCATTGCCTTTGTAGTGATACGCATTTTTGTACATTCAGTACACTACCGATGCCATAGTTTTCTAATCAAACAAGCAACCGAAAAAAGCTACTGTATGAATCCAATTAAATTACTTTCATTCCCAATAACTGCTGTGACCAAAGAGGGCAAAAATGACGAGTACTTTGGATGCAATCACCCAACCAGTTTGTTACAGGAGACCCAGCAACAGCAATTGTACATGTCTTTAAGATATCGATCTATTTAGGAGGCAGTATGGCTGAGTGGTTAGAGTGTCGGACTTGTAATCCGCTGCTCCTGGGTTCAAGTCCGACCCTGACCACTGGATTTGTTTCACGGTAGCCCCGAGTTCAGATCCTTGGCCACGCTTGTAAATAGCAAACTGGTTTTGCCTCCGGCCGGTTGGGGTTCTTAATTATGTTCTTAATGATGTTATGTTCAATTTAGGCCATTTGTTTCATGTGTTTGCGAGGACCACAATGGAAACTACTAGTTCACCAGTAAATGTGTAATCCTACAGAAAGACAATTTCTTTTAATTTTTTTTTTATTTTTACATAAAATCTTTTACGTGCAAATGTGTTTGATTAATGTAATATTTACAAAATATTTATTTACTCACTAAAGGTTTTGATTTTGATTCAGTATTTAATTTTGTGTTTGTCCACAGTGCCTTCAACTGTAGAAACAATTATAGATAAGAACGTAACTGAAGGTGAAACCGTGAATCTGACATGTACTGCATCTGGAATGCCTGAGCCAAACGTGTCTTGGATTAAGCCCAATGGTGAAAGTGTTGCTGGAAATGTGTTGGAGCTTGTGAACATCATCAGGAATGAAGGTGGTGAATACACATGTGAAGCCAGTAATGAGTGTGGCAATGCAACAGAGATGGCAAAAATCGATGTGCATTGTAAGTAATTGCTTGAATGTTGCACACATTTCGGTATGTGAGTTTTCAACTCAATTAATGACAAGGGGCTTTATTATGAACCCACTTGGCAATGCACAGTACTTCTCCTTAACGTGTGTAGTAAGAATTAAAGGAAGGTAGATAATGTACAAAGAGTGCTTTGTGAAATCCCATATGCAACCAGTTGGGATCAAAGAAGTTATAGTTATAAATGGTCTCTTCGTCCTTAGACAAACCAGAGAATGTCCAGTTAATGAGTTCTGCCATGAAAAAAACAAAGCGTGCCAGGGAGAAGTCATCACCTTCAACTGCTCAGCTGATGCTAAGCCAGCAGTGACGTCATACCAGCTGTATAAGAATGACACTGCCATGGTCGCCAACTCTTCCGGAGTGTGGAGAGAGATATTAGAAAGTGGAGGAGTGTTTGTCTACAAATGTGTGGCTAACAACAGTGTGGGATCAACATATAGTACGGATGTTACGTTCAGTGTGAATGGTAAGGCTTAATCTTTTTATTTTGCTTTGTTAATACTGTAGGATTGAGTTTTATGGTTTTATACGGTGTCTGCGAGAAATGCTTAATACGCATCACTTTTGAGAAAAGGTATAACATACAACTGTCTTCTTCAAGAGTTTCATTTGAACTCACACTAGACCACTTTATTAGTGATAATATTTAAGAAATAATAACTTTTTCCTAATGATATACCAACTCTGATGCGAATCGTGACATTTTGAGTGTGTACTGCCGGCTTTGTTTAAGGGTTGAGGTTGTCTGTACTGAAAATTATTTACCGTATCAGCTATAATGGTGTTTGCCAGGCACAGAACCAGTTAGAGATCTGTTTAGTTGCGGTTTACCGTTTCAACTGGTTTGAGAAATAAATCGAAAACCAAGAGTTTTTACCAGAGTTAGTTCTTCTGCTTGTTGACGGACAAATGCGTACTTCAGTTTATGTTTTTTACAGTGCCTCCATCCATACAACCAATCAACAACAAGAAGGTAATTAAAGGTGACAATGTGACTGTGATGTGTAAGGTATCTGGAATGCCTCCACCAATGGTGTCGTGGATAAAACCTAATGGTCAGCGTCAGAGTGGATATATGTTGAGGCTTGTGACCATTAGCAGGAAAGAAGCTGGTGAATACAAATGTGAAGCCAGTAATAAGTGTGGTAATGCAACAGAGATGGCAACAATTGACGTACAGTGTAAGTTTGTTGACATCGAATGCATTTATTCTCCTTTCTTTGAACTTGAGATCTTAACTGGCGTACCTGTACATGAACGCATCCAAAATCCCACAGTGTTTCATCAGAATTTGAAATGAAATAAAAATCCTTGCAATTTTAACGACTTTTTCGTGATTTGTTCCTTTTAAAGATGCACCAACGATTACAAACATTTCTGGTGGGCAGACCGTAAACAAAGGTAAAGAGGTGAGTTTGTTCTGTATGGCAGAAGGTAATCCAGCACCAACTATAACGTGGACAAAAGTCGCTGATAACAGTACAGTGAACTTCCCTTTGATCATCCGTGGTAGCCGGGATGAAGGACTGTACAGATGTACTGCTGAGAATCGTGTTGGAAGCTCTGTGACTAAGGATGTCAGCATAATAGTACATCGTAAGTGAATTATTTATGTCTGTTACGATTGTATTTTGTTTGCTTACAACATTGACCTACAATAGGTGTACAATCCACAAAGTTCTTGTGTTTGTTTGTTCAGACTGATAAAAATGAATGAATTAATGACTAGTTTATTTAACTCTCTGGCAGTAAAGGACCTGAATTATAGAGTGTATTTTACAATCTTAGGCAACTATTATCTAAAAACTAAAAAAAATTACGACTATAACGATGATCATAACAATTGAATCATTTAAAATATTTAAATGTAAAAAAGTCCTCCGTTCTCTTTGTCCTACATGTCTGATTGTATCGGAAGAGATAGTACTTTTGTGTTTTCTGCGTTAAGTTGTAATTAGGTGTGCGCAACAGTGGGCTGGGGAGCAGATGGTGCAGCGGGTGGCCGGGGGACTTCTATGGAGCGACTTCAATTGAGAATAAACAATCTGTGATTGGTTTGGTTTTACTGGACTCAGCTCTCAGACTGATCCAGAAAACTCGTGCTATCCTTTCCACCAGTCAGATGTAAAACTAAAACAATTGAGACTTGGTCACCCCTCAGAAAGTCTGCTTGTCTGCTTGTTTTCACGACGTGCTCTGATTGGCTAACGATAATGTTAACCTTCTTATTTGTCGCTGTCATTATAGTTGTTTTGGGTTTTTCGACACCTTATTGGGAACTACCCTTAAGTAACCAAATCGCCAAGTCCTTTGATGCTTGTTACGAGGTTCGTTTAACTTATGGTGTGGAGATTTGAACTGTTCTTGTCAATGTATATACACGCATGGTTTCTGGTAGGGTTCTGGTAAATGCTAATCTTTCATTTATTTGTGTCGGTACGTTTGTGTTGCGAAATTATGTTAAAAAGTCAAGTCAACACTTAGCCAGTGTACAAATGGAAATCCTAAGCTTATCTAACGGGTAAACCCTCACTTGTAAAGTGCTAAGTACAGGTAGGAACTCACTCAAAGATTGCCTTAGAATTGATCCTCAAAATATTATGAAAAATAATCTAATAATTTCTTTTCTTTCGTGCATATCAAAAGTTTAAAAAAATTGGTGTGTAAGTTTTTGCTTTGCAAGTAAAGACATCAGCAGAACTTTTATTTATCCAATACTGTCGTGTTACTGTCTCTGCTTCTAGAAAACCCTTGCCTTGAGGAATGTACGAATGGACGAAATTGCAGAGAATTCGGAAAATACCTTTGCTTATGTCCAAAAGGAAAAACAGGACAAAATTGCAAAGAAAATGGTAAGTTGAGGAAAGATAGATGATGGCGGGCGAAGATTTTTGACAAACTGGTTAACGAGAAGTCGATAACCAATTAACGACTCAACCATAAGAAGGAGGAGGAGAACTATGTTTTCCGGTACTGCAAGTCTCAACAAATGCATTATTGAAGTCAGTTGTCTTACAATCCCTGATGGAGAGATAGCTTCTAAGAATTCCTAACGATAATTGATCAAATTGTCATGCCGGTGTACGTCGGGTGTTCCATGGATTTGTTGTTATTTCTACTCGTTGGTGTTTGGATGAGAATGCCCAAATATTCTAAGAGGTTCAATTCGTTATGACAACAATATAGGTCAGGAATATTTTGAGTATAAAAAACCATCAGTAACTAAAATATTAGAGTGGTATGAGGGAACCACTTTGTTTCTCTTGTTTCAACTTCGCTGCTTAATTTGATAGTAGGTGATGAATGTTGTGCTCACAAACAGTCTTCATACAATCAAGTTTGCAATTTCGTTTCCTTTTGCTTCAATAGATACAATGGCGGTTGTTCTCATGATCAGCCTTAAAATTGATAACAAAAAGTGGAGAGAGGAACTTACCGACTTGTCTGACTTAGATACACAAGGGTTTGTTGGAGTAATCGTAGATTCGGTAAGTCCTTTAAGTTGATCTAATTTTGAAAAGGTACGGAATATTTGTTTAAGATAAAGAAACAATCAGATAATTTCCATCAGACAATACCCTACATTATCCTGCTTTATTTTCTCTTTTAATTCCCGCAGTAAAACAGAAGGGAGGAATTTATTTTAATCCCCCTTGCTCTGAAAAGGAAAACTCTCTCTTACGTAATGGAGATTGATCCAATCTAAACATTACCAAAGAAATGGACCTCGTATTCAATTCGAGTTTTTGTAGAGCTCAAAGCATCATAAAGTGAGAAGTGTTTTATGTAAAGAATGAAAGACATTTCCCTATGTCTAAATTGTAATTAACAAATCAAAACATCCTTTGTTTAACTGAGGGTTCATCAATCAATCAATCAACTTTATTTAACGAGGGTAACACAGGACAGTGCTTTAACTGAGTAACTAGTGGCCCTCAAACTAAATTCATAAAACAAAGTTAAGTAACAAAATACATGTCGTAAAGAAAAGGAAGTATAAGTATATGTATGAATAGGACTAACAATCCGATGTCGGGCGCAGTAGAACCTCATCCATTCTCAACCAGACTGACCTATCATTGGAATATCAATGCTTTTTAGGTGGATGAAGAATTCAAAGGTTCTGGCGTCAGAGAAATTAATGTGACACGACTAAGGTATCATCATTCATTGATGAAAAATCTACTTACTCGTCTTTATTAGTAGTATTTTCGTTTATGTTTCTGGTTGAATTACCGCCTAAAACATGAACTTTTATGACGTATTTCATTCGCAGAGAGGGAAGTGTCATTGCAGACATATCGCTCACATTTGGCGAGCCTGTTGGAGAAAGTGAAGTAGAATCATTTCTACAAGATGCGGTTAATGATGGAAGCCTTGGTATTCTAAAAGTAGGTACTTTCGCCGTAGGACCAACTCTTCCAGGTGTGTATAAACTTTCAACTACGGTAAATTTGGGTGTAACCAACAGAAGTTGAGTCTCTAAATAGCGGATTTGTGGTACAGACGTGTTACTTCTGTGTTAGAAATTCTCGGAAGTTGCACTTTTAACCTAAACTCGTATGACCAAAATGTTAAAACTGCTACGTTGCATAGGATTTTGATGGTCTTGAACAGTGAGTGTACACCGAGCAAATTATTTGGTTCCGCGGCTGATGCAAATTAGAGAAAGTTTATGAGTTCTTTACATGTTAAGGATTGCAGATACATGGACACAGCTGTTTTTAATGTCATATTTGTTTAAGATTTAGTCACGGTTCCCGGTCCAGTTCCATCAGAACCAACAAAGGTGAATAAGGATGTTATTTACGGCTCAGTTATTGGGGTTCTTGGCCTGATTCTCGCTGTCATTGCCGTTTTCATTGCCTGGAAACACCGCAAACGTAAGTAGACTTAATTACTTTTCTCAGTTGTTTAATATTCTGATACGAGAGGCTAGTAACTGAGATGTATGAATTGTGCAGGGTTGACAAAGAGAAATTCGATTGAACAAAATAAGGGAAACTAAGAAGGGAAAAGGAAAGAAAAAACAGCAATGAATCGGACAACTTGCAACAGTGTAAACGTTTCCCAAAATCTTTCAGTTCATGACACCAATCTCTAATTTTTGTTCGATATTATTATTACTAATTAAAAGTGCTCACAGGTGAAGGAGTTTGAAGTGCGTCAGTTACTAATGAAGATTTGTAAATGCTGCAGTTGTTTTCTCTTTATCTGATATCATTTCTAATTTTTTCCACACTTCTTAGGTGAAAGAGATGATCGGTAAGATTGCATTAATATAAAAAGCTAATTCTGCGGCAGCATCCGTAGATCCGATTAGCAGAAAACGCGCTGTGCTTGTATTTATAGTCATTTGAAAACTTTCTGTTCTTATCGTTCGGAGAATTTTTTTGTTTAATTTAGCCAGATAAAAGTGTGGCAGTTTGAGAAAAAAACTGAGTTTAACAGATTTGATCATCGATATAGTTAGGTTTCACGAGGAACCAATGTGGTTCAGTTGATATTTTGCACAAACAAGTGTTATTGAGATTTACAGTGGTCAGTGTCTTTGAAAATAAGTCTAGCGGTTGATTTTCTTTCAGACTTAATGCAGGTACTAGGAGATCACGTATTCTTAAAATTGTAAGTATGGTGTGCATTTTTCAGAATACCTCACCCTATGATGATCAGCAAATATCTATCTAAATCCCAAGTAATGATTTATTTCACCCACGCCTAATACTCTCGTGAATCAGATGAAGTTTGGATTTAGAAGTCAGATTGCACTTTGCCGACAGGTTGCGAATATTCCCCGAAAATGGTGATGCATTTACGCGTCAAATCGTCTTGGTACTAATTCGCAAGTGCTTGACGAAAGGGCATTAAAGTTAGGGAATGTCATTATATGATCAAAAACATCTTGTATAATTGGGATAACCGCTTCAAAAACCTCTTCATTGTTAAACACCGATTATCATTGGACAGGTAACGGTTGTGTTTGACTTTCTTTTATGCTGGATTGCAAAACAATGAAACGAAACTGAAAGAATTATGCCATGAAATGGACAATGTTCCCAATCTTTACGGGGAAAAAACGATGCTAAACTAAACGTTACTTTCGTTTCGCTGGAAAACAGAACGAGGGATTTGAACTGGAAAGCATCAGTGAAAACCTTAGCAACGTCGCGTATTATGGCCCAGGACATCACATGGACCTGAATGAAGTTAGATCACTTAATGGACATGCCACAGACCCAACACGAAGCTATTTAGAAATTAACGAATATGCTCCCCTGCATCCAGGAACACGCTCGTGGGAAGTGGAAAGAGAAAACGTTACAATTGAAAAGGTGATCGGAAAAGGTGCCTTTGGTCAAGTCGCTCAAGGAAAAGCTTCAAATGTTCGAGGAAGAGAGGAGACAATAACAGTTGCCATAAAAATGCTGAAAGGTACTCTATTCATTGTCTTAAGTCTGTTTTAGTTTAGATGAGGCTTAACTCTTACTGGGTTGTCGTCCTCTGCTTTAGGTAACGCCAGAGATTTAGAAAGGAAAGATTTGCTGTCAGAGCTTGAAATCATGAAGAAACTCAAGCCCCATCCTCACGTCATCAAGTTGCTGGGATGCGTCACTAAATCAGGTGAAGAAAATAAAAGTATGAAACCTCTCGGTGTATGTCTGCTCGTATCACCCCAACATAGTTATGATTCGGTGTTCAAACTTACTTAAACTGACATGGTTTATAATTTATTGCTCTCTCGCTGCACCTAATTCCGTCATTGTTGATGCCACAGCATTAACGAAAGGCGTTTGTACCAAGTGAACCAGGTAAATAATGAATTTTCGCTACCAGCTCCATTGAACTTGATTTTAGTGTATTTCTCCGGTTTAAAACAGACCGTGTTTGAACCTTACATACCCCTTACATACCCCTGGTTTGAACCTTACATACTCCTGCACAAAGGTTTTCGTTTTCCCATCGCTTCAATTACCTCAGAAGACAATGTGCTGCGTTTTTCGTAAAAAATTCTTTCAGATCCTTTGCTTGTTCTAATCGAGTATGTCCCATATGGAGATCTCCGGGGCTATTTGAGAAAGAGCCGGCAGTTAGAAGACAACCACTTCAATGACCCGGATATCAAGCCACAAACGGGTTTGACTTCCCAGCAGCTGATGAAATTTTCCTGGCAAGTAGCTGATGGTATGCATTATTTGTCCTCAAAAAACGTAAGTCGGTGTTTTAGTAATAAAAAAATTTTTCCAACTCGGCGGCAATCGATCTAAGGGATACTTTATTCATTTTAATTTTTGTGGACATATTTACAATAAATAAATGTATACATGTAAATGACTTAAGTTTTAATTTTTAAATGCTTTGAGGAATCTTACAATGTGGTTTGGTTACGGTGATAATAGAGCTTTTTTGTTTGAGATGATCAAAAGCGTCCATGGCAGCAATCACTTCTGTTTCGCTGCAAACAGCAAAGTTTCAAACGCTGTTGACCAACGCAAAATTAGTACAGTTATCGTACGAAAAACACAGACAATTTGCAAGAAAGCTCTCAAATGTTCGAGGGGACGTTATTTGCTTAGTTTTCTAAGTTCATGGCTTCTGATCAGTACGAGATATTTCTCTCATTTGATAAAGGAATAACCTTTTTTAAGGTTAATGTTTAAGTACAAAGTTTTCTTTGTTTTGGACTCTCAACTCGGAAAGTATCAGGTCTCGCATCGTAAAACAGCCTCTGGTCATTATGGTTTGAAATCATTCTAATCAATGATCTGAAGAGAAAAAACAGTACATTTAGTGGTACCATTACAATTAAAGATCTATGCTTGGTATTTTTCTCAACAGATTATTCACCGCGACCTTGCAGCCCGCAACGTCCTGGTTGGAGAGCGAGAACGATGTAAGGTAACCGATTTTGGAATGGCTAGAGACGTGTGCCAGGAAAACATCTATGAAAGGAAGTCAGAGGTTTCTGATTTTATTATCTCGATAGTCTGGCTAATACAGTCATAAATTAGTATTCATAAATGCTATCTCATTCTGTAGTAATTTTGTTCTCAATTATGTTTTGTGCAACATCATCACCAAACAGTGCGCAAGAACAAAGGTACAAAAACAAAATGAAGAAAATTTCCCTAATAATTTTTGCTCATTCTCTTCAACATTTTCTTTAACGTTTTCCCAAAGGGGAGACTGCCAGTGAAATGGACAGCTAGCGAAGCGCTGCTATACGGACGATATACGACGAAAAGTGATGTGTAAGTGGATCTAATCAGT